CCCACCAATCCATTTATGTAGAGCAGATTATCTAAGTCATTTTATCCAATGTGTGTCCAGAATGAGTAATTGAAAATTGTTTGTATAAAGCTTCTGCGATGCGTTGGAGGTGGTTCCCCTGAGGCCATTTTTCTTTGTATGTCTTAAATGACAGAGCTTTTAAAAAAAATAAGAAATAATTTGAGAACACACAATGAACCTAAACCACATCCACTACATGCTGCCAAGCAAAGCTTAAAGATGGATGCACAGTTTCATGTTTGAGTTTTGAGATCACAGGCATATTTAAACAATGTTTTTCTTTAGCAAATGAATGAGAGGTTTGCTCAGTAGCGCTAATCAATTGTGTATAATGTACTTGCAAACTACTACCTTTATCAGCAGGACACCAGAGCACCTAGTGAGTTTGTGTGGCACAGGAGCCTAGTTACCGCAGAGTATGCCAACACAAAGTGCTATAAGGGTTGGACACAAAACTGAGTTTTCAGTGACTTTTCGATGAAAGCTTTCTTTTTGTGACTAATGAACTACCAGATTCTCAGTAAAGAGAAACATTTTCTAATTAGACTTCAGAGCTTGCCATTTTTGAACATTAACATGTGAATTTGTGGGCTGTGCAAGTTCTAAATACTTTCAGTCACTTCTAGATACAGGGCGACTATTCTCCTGTGTCTGTTATATGCCATTATTTATGAGGGAAGTGCATACATGACTTTGCATTCTGAAAAAGAGAGGACAATACAGTCTCCTGCTCCTGCATCACTACAGGAACACCTATGTGTTTGCTATGTGTACAGTGGGCACTGAGGCCCAGCCAAGTGCTATCACAGAATCACAGAATGTTGGGGATTGGAAGGGACCTCAAAAGATCATCCAGTCCAATCCCCCTGCCGGAGCAGGAACCTAAATAAGATCACACAGGAAGGTGTCCAGTGGGTCTTGAACGTCTCCAGAGAAGGAGACTCGACAACCTCCCTGGGCAGCCTGTTCCAGTGCTCTGTCACCCTCACTGTAAAGAAGTTTCTTCTCAAGTTTAAGCAGAACCTCCTGTGTTCCAGCTCACACCCACTGCCGCTTGTCCTACCATTGGGCATCACTGATAAGAGCCTGGCTCCATCCTCCTGACATTCACTCCTTACATATTTATAAACATTAATAAGGTCACCCCTCAGTCTCCTCTTCTCCAAGCTAAAGAGACCCAGCTCCCTCAGCCTTTCCTCATAAGGGAGATGCTCCACTCCCTGAATCATCTTTGTAGCTCTGCGCTGGACTCGGCACAGTAAGTGCTGTAAAGGAACAGAAACAAACCTCAGGTTGGATGATTACCAACATTCACACACTTGAACCCTTACTACTGAATTTGAAATACATAAGTTTGTGGTCTGGTGGTTGTACTTGCACTGTGGCCACATATGAATGCATCAGAAGAGGATTTGAGAAAAGTGTGGGTTCAGAAAACCACTCTTGAAGTTCTTTCTGCTAGCTGAGCTTAATGAAAATGGCCTTTCCAAAAGACTGAGGACAGTTTATACACAGGCAATCTGCTCAGTGTTGTCTGTACTAGAATCAGTTTTTTCCTTCTGCATCTTAAAATGTCATCTGATATGTAATTTACTTTTTGATGCAAGCAGAATTAAAGAGTAAAGGGGACTCAGCTGTTACAGGGGCACTGTCACTGGAATGGTCATGGTTTTGCTATAGGCAATCCTTATATAATAAGGATTTGTGGCAGAGGAGTGGCACTGTTGTCTGAAATACTGAAGACTACCAAATTTCTTCCCTGGCCCCCTTATAAATTTGTATAATACTTCCATAGTCTGCTACAGTATGTTTCTGTGCACATGCTGCATCCCCTTTGATGGCTTCCTACTTTCCTTCCATGTGTGGAATAAACACAAGATACCTGTACTGCTTTCAAAGAAAAAGAGGGCAGGAAAAAAATTTTCTCGCAGAAAAGATTAATTTCATCCTCTTGTCTAACCTGATTAGAACAATTAGCACTAATTAAGTGTAAGATAGCTTGTAACCTAACTCCACTCACTGAATAAATTATTTTTATTCATATTATCACAGGACATTAAGAATCAGCACAGTGACTACATTACATGCCTACCATAACACAAGTTCATTGCTCTGGGGAGCTGGTTTCAGAGTCATGTCTCACTTCTAACCAGGTGGTCTGCACTGCTTTAATTGCACTGTTTCATTGATAGATTTGCTCCAGAAAGGTGGATCACCATTTCCAGCCGCTGCCCAAGACAGAAAATGTTACTAGCCTTAAAGCTCAAAGTCTGAACCACAAAGGTCCTACCCAGAATCTGAACTGACAGTTGAAGTCCTCTGTTCCACTAGACGTAGAAAACAAATAACCCACTCAATCCTTTCTGAGATTGAGACATAACTTTGCTTAGTTCTTAGTGGGCTAAGATACATGCTGCTTTGTTTCACTGTTTTTAATTTGAATTACACTTTTTAATGAAATAAATCATTCTACTTAATACTTGCTCCAAACTGTAAGTGGATTTAATGTAAGAGGCCGACATCCTCACAGTACCCCGCTGCAGGTAACAGAACCACACCACAGTGATTTGGCTCACTCACACGCAGTGAGGCGGAGCATGGGAAACACTGCTGCAGTGACAGAAGCTATAAAATAAACACAGGAAAGGAGGACCCTGCTGAGCTGTGGGTGACCTCCAAAAGCACTGTGTATTCTTTGCCTCATAGCCTTGGTACATCCCCACAGGTTGATGTTTTTGTTTAGCAATGAGGGTAAACAGTGGGAGCAAAGGATAGGACTGACAGGCTTGTAAAACTCATACATCCACTTAATGACCAGCAGCCTACCCAGGAGCTGGACCTCACCTTTGTCATATACAGATGAACACAAACTGGATTCTCTTAGGGAGGTTATAAATAACAAAGTTCTGACAACAGCACAAACCACTCAAATTCTGCTTCTGAGCAGCAGAAAATCCAAATCCTTGGTGTTTTCAGGGAAAAGCAAGGATGTGGGCTTGATACATAATGAAGACA